TACATCAAAAAAGTAGATTACAATTAGTTGTTTTAAAAAAATTAAACACAAAAAGTAAATTATTATGAGTAAACATTGATTAAAAACGATATGAAAGCATGTGGTGTGAAAATTTGTATTAGTTCATGCTTTGTTTTGTGAGATATATATTTTGTCTCGCTTTTGAAATGAATGTAAACTAAGAAAACATGGAATGGTTTATATAGGCTGTAAAAATGGGGTAGTTAATATTTTAGAATATTTGGTTTGAGATTTAGTTTTGAAAAGAAATAACTTTATTCAATCTCAATCACTAAATTATCGTGATTTTATTGTTAAATATTAAATATTATATCCGAATATTCCATTTTTAGAAGACTTAGAATAACAAATCATGTTTATATTTAATAGGCGTATTTAATTACCATAAATTAGTAAATTGTTATAAATTAAGATATAATCGGTTGATTTTGCCTACCATAAATTAATGATTTTGATATAAACGATTTAGATTTAAATGATTAAGGAAATATATACATATTATGGATTTTAAATGATTAAGGAAATATATATTCAAAGAAAATCGAATAGGATAATGATTACTTAATAAATAATTCTTCAATTTTTAATATATAATGAAATGACAAAAGTTTATTTATAAAAATCTTACAAATAAAAAGTTATATTATCAAATGTATTTAAAAAATGTTAATATAGATTGATTTGGTTGGTCAAGTTAAAAATTAAAATAGTTTAAAAAGTCAACTACATTGAATATTCCATACTAAGAAAACATGGAATGGTTTCTATTAAAACAAATATTAAAATACTCAATGTTTAAAATTTCGATCAAGATCTTTATAAAATATTTGAAATTAAGAAAATCTTGCCAATTAAGCTAAATTTTAGGCATTGTATCTTACAAATAAAGTTAAATATCAAACGTAATAATTATCTTTCCTTTAATATTGAAAACCAATTTTTTTTTATCAACTGAAAAATGAACGATGGAGATTAAATCTCTAAACCCGATTAACATATCCGTTTAGTTAGTTAGATCCGCGTGTTAACCCAGTTAGAAATGATAATTATTTCATTTTGAAACTATAGTGTAAATTCATTGTGTACTTCAGCTTTAATAGTATAGATGAACACGCCATCCACATTTTGTTGGGTTAAAATCTCTGAAAAACGACAAAAGTTAAAGCGAGATTTTTTTCGGTAGATAAAAAAGTTGAAGCGAGATATACTTGGAATCTGATCACACGGTTTGACAAATGTTGTGTAGATGAAGTTAATCTTGTAAGGATGTATGGTTCCCTTGTAGTCACCATGGTTATGAACGACTTCAAAATTCATGATATCATAACACTTTCCTTCCAACAATTTGTTTTGGAATTTTTGAAGCAAATTGTTTCACAGAAGAAATAAAAGAATTGTTTCACAGCAAATTGATGTCCCTGTCAACCAAATAGAGAATGGTGAGAAATAAAAGGTAAGTGACATATTCATAGACAATAGCATTAAAAACACCAGAGTATAGGTATCTTTGGTTAAATGGACTTATGGTGTTTTGCTTTCTTTTAAAAAAGTGTATACATATATTGGTTATTTTAAACAGATTTTGAAAAAAAAAATTATATTGTAATAATAAGTTTAAATAACTATAATCACACAAATATTTACCTTCGCATCCACAAGGATTGCTTCAAAACCAATAATACTATTCTTTTTTCATAGAATTTGAGATTTGAAAGAGGAGTATATTCAAAAGGCATCTTCCACCTAGGAATTAAAAAAAGAATTAATATGAATTCAAGGAAAAAATTATAGGTAAGAACAAAAACAAAAGAATTTGCTTGCCTGATAATTGAAACTGCAGTTTAGAAGAGAAGAGAAAACATTTGAAAGGAAAAAAATTCAGAGAAATATGAAGATTGAAACTGAAATTGGATTTTAATAGATGACAGATTGGTTGGTTTTTACAATGAACGTGGATCTCAGATGATTGAGTGAGAAAAATTAGGGATTAGTTTGGTTTTTTTTTTCCAGTAAAGTAAGAAAAAAAAAACGCTGAAGAAGGTTAATATAGGATTCAAGGGTTTTAGAAAACTGTAATGGGTTTGGGCCTTTGGCCTTATAAAATAAAAGAAATTGTTCAACTCATAATTGGGTATTTGGACTTATAAAACAACAGAAATTGTTAACTGCTGTTTAAGGGAACTGATCGTGTGTTTGAAATTTTTAATCATTGATCGTGTGTTTCATTAGTTTGACAATTTTTGTTTTTAATAAACTAAAATTGGATGTGGCCAAATTTTAGCGGACATGTGACTTGTGCTTTTTATAGTGTAAAAGATGTATTACAAATTTACAATACAAAATATTATATACAGTAAAACCTCTATAAATTAATACTCGATAAATTAATAATCTCTATAAATTAATAAATTTCTCCGGTCCCAAGTTGGGACCAGTGTAATTTTAGACACATTTCGATAAAATAATAAGATAATAATTTTTTTGAAAATCCTTTGTAAATATATGGTCCCAACAATATTATAAATTAATAATTAGGTAAAATTTTCAAAATATATGTATATATAGACACATTGTTTTTTGTTAGAGTTTATTTCTAATATTTTACTATATAAAACATTGTTAGAATTCTCTTTCAAGACATAATAATTATTATTTTCTTTGTTAATTATTATATAAAATACTAATTATCATGATTAAATCTTATTTTTAAATATTTTTTTGAAGACACTTTCCAAATTAGGAAAATCTCTCTATAAATTAATAATTATTAATTTATCGATAAATTAAAACCTCTATAAATTAATAGATTTTCATGGTCCCAACATTATTAATTTATAGAGGTTTTACTTAGTTTAGTAAATTATTATATACAGAATAATTGGATATTATTATATATGAAATCACCATATATGATATGTTAGATTTTAATTTAAATACTTTTATTCATTAGCTAACTCCAAAAAAAAAGAAAAACTAATAACAAAAACCAAAAGCTAGATTAAGCACACCTATAATCAAAATACTACAAACTTAATTATTAATTTTAAAAACTAATAATTATACATTTTAATTGTAGTAGATTCTCTAACTCATTTATTTTAGCTATTAATATATTAAAATCTTCCTTAGTTTTCCTCTAAATGAGTTGTAATCTCTGTCAATCCAACAACAAAGAAGAAAACCATATTGTTTTAAAAAAACCATATTATAACAAAAAAATAATAATATCACAACCCAACAGAATAAACCGAAACAAAACAAATAAAACAATTCACTCTTAAGCAACAGCTAATTCTCAACCTTACCCTTTAAACCAACCCTCAAATCTCACTAACCGACAAAAACCAAAAAAATCTCAAAACCCAAATCAAAATCAAATTTCTCCTCTCCGCCGCAGACGAAGACGACGACCATCGGAGACTTTTCGTGGATGGGCCAATCAACCTCCGCCGCCGGCAATTCCATCTTCAACCACCGGAAAACCAAATCGTTCTCCCTGAAATTCCCGATTCAACCGATCGAATCTGAGGTTTCACAACCTGACTACACATCGTGTTTACCTGACGAGTGCTTAGCTTTGGTGTTCCAGTTCTTAAACACCGGTAATCGGAAAAGATGTGCTCTGGTTTGTCGCCGGTGGATGATCGTTGAAGGACAGAATCGTTACCGTCTCTCACTCCATGCTCGTTCAGATCTGATTACTTCGGTGCCTTCTCTCTTCTCTCGGTTCGATTCCGTTACTAAGCTCTCTTTGAAATGCGATCGTAGATCTGTTAGTATCGGCGACGAAGCGCTTGCTAAGATCTCTCTCCGGTGTCCGAATCTGAAGAGGCTTAAGCTTAGAGCTTGCCGTGAACTCACCGATTCAGGTATGGCTGCTTTTGCTGAGAATTGTAAGGAATTGAAGATATTCTCTTGTGGATCTTGTGATTTTGGAGCTAAAGGTGTGAAAGCTGTGCTTGATCATTGCTCGAAACTCGAGGAGTTATCGATTAAGCGACTCCGTGGATTCACCGATGTAGCTCCGGAGTTGGTTGGTCCTGGTGTTGCTGCTTCGTCTCTTAAGTCGATTTGTTTGAAGGAGCTTTATAATGGTCAGTGTTTCGGTCCAGTGATCGTTGGTGCGAAGAATCTTAGGTCTTTGAAGCTTTTTAGGTGTTCTGGTGACTGGGACATGCTTCTTCAAGATATGGCTGTTAAGGATCATGGTATAGTTGAGATACATTTAGAACGGATGCAAGTGAGTGATGTAGCTCTCACTGCGGTATCGAATTGCTCGAGTCTCGAGATTTTGCATCTTGTGAAGACACCTGAATGCACGAATTTTGGATTGGCTACGATTGCAGAGAAGTGTAGGCATTTGAGAAAGCTTCATATTGATGGTTGGAAAGCGAATTTGATTGGGGACGAAGGGCTTTTGGCTGTGGCTAAGTTTTGCTCTCAGCTTCAGGAATTGGTTCTAATTGGAGTGAATCCAACTACGTTAAGTTTAGGAATGTTGGCTGCGAAATGTCAGAATCTCGAAAGATTGGCACTTTGCGGTTGTGATACGTTTGGTGATCCTGAGCTTTCTTGTATAGCAGCGAAATGTCCGGCTTTACGGAAACTATGTATCAAGAACTGTCCCATTTCGGATGTGGGAATCGAGAATCTTGCAAACGGATGCCCCGGTTTAACCAAAGTGAAAATCAAGAAATGCAAAGGAGTTATGGGTGGGTGCGCAGACTGGTTAAGAACGGTTAGGCCTATGCTTTCGGTAAACGCAGACACCGTGGAACCAGAACATCAAGAAGAAGAAGCAAGCAATGATGCTGTTGGAGGAGACTTGCAAGAAAACAGAATCGAATTCCCTCATTTGAACAGCCAGATCATGGCACCAAGCATTGCGTCTTCAAGCAGTAGAAGCCGTTCAGGGTATTTCAAATCAGGCATTGGACTGTTCAGCGGAATTAGTCTAGTAGCTTGCACTTCGAGACAACGACGGGAAAGCAGGTGATTGGCTGCGTTCAGCCAATACTACGTTCATTACTTGTTCAAGTTGTTTCTTACAAATGAAATTGTACATATATGGCAGTAGATTGTTTGTTTCATTACTCAGTCGAATGTTACATCGTTACTGATCTACCATGTCGCCATTCGCCAACACTTGTTAGAAACATCACATCGCAATATGGTTACAGAAACTAAAAGACAAACTAAGACTATTATCTGCAAATGCTTTGGTTATAAACTCTTAGAATTAACTGTGTTTTCCTCCAGGTTGTAGAAGAAACACTAATAAGTATCAAATGTAGCCATATTCGTCCACGAAGGCGGCATAACGCAAGTTTAGCCTTAACCATTCTTGTTTCAGTGCATCCTCAAAAATTCACAGCTCACAAGGACCAAGGTGATGTGGCTAAATCTTTTTCTATGTAAACTTTTGTTTCTCAAGTCTAGGCAATCTTTAAGGTAAACATGTATACATTAAAACGCAGTAGCAGTAGAAGATTAATAGTAAGCAAAATAATATGAAGAAGAATAATAAGATCAATGTCAATGAGAGTTTAGACAACATCCATAAGTAAGGATCAATTGAAGTAGAAACATAGTAAGAGTTAGAATCTATAAAGCTTACTAGAACCGAACTCGTCATCAGCCTCAATGTTGTTGCAGAAACATCAGATTCTCATCATAATTCGTGAAGAAAAACAATGATTCATGAGGATCTCGACTAGTCGATACCTTGTCTTTCAGTCCTTTGATTTCAACTGTTCGAACGTGATCTGTCTCCACATTTTTGTAGTAAACATATAATGGATCGGTTAAACGAGTTGAAGACGGCCAAACAATATCACCCATATCACTTGCCCAGATTGATTTTCTAACGTCCTCCAAAGATGAATATGGCAAATTACAATTGTGTATCGACCATTTACCTTCTTTGGTGTCATCTAGAACCTCTAACTCAGCACAATTATCATAACTTAAAGACCGTACGACGACTCCTAACTTTCCCTTGTAGTCTATGAGAGTCAAAAGCGACACATATTTCATATCTACGAAACTAAATTTCTCAGACCTAACATCAAAGCATACTATTCTTATAGAAGTACCATGACGGTAAGATGTGTAATATAAAACCCCATTGATGCATATCCCATTCCTCTCTATCTCAGGAGTATGCCGAATCGGACATTCGATCTTTCTCCACAACAGCTCTCCAGTCCCTAAAGTCAGAACTTGATACTTGACATTGGAGGTAGTTTGTCGAAACATGGTCCAACACAAAACCTTGAATTGTTTCCGGATTGGATCATACCCGAAATAGCATTTCAAATCCGCATTGCCCGTTTCAACTTTAGGCAAAGTTATGTGCTGACCCGTGCAAGGGTTACATATAACAGGAACGTTTTTTACATCTATATATGACAAGAACCTTTTATCATTCAAATAGATAAATCCATTAACAGATTGACAAATTTCCTTGTACCTAGTTCCAGAATAACCCATGATATACTCGGTTGCTACAACACTTACGTTGTCACCAAAATCTTGAGGCTGAGGGGATGAGAAGTAGTGCCACTTACTGCCAAATCTGAAGGTGAACAAAAGACGTTGCCGCCGAGGCATTGGCGTCCTTGTGAGGAACAATTCTGTGAAATCTTGACGTTGAAGTAAAGAAGCCCATTGCTTCGACACAAAACGATATCTTGCGATGGAATTCACAGGTAATCTTGAGAGTATCTCGATGATGAGATCTATGGGAAGTGTCTCTCTTAAAAACGTTGAGGCCGATGATTGTTTGTTGCGTCGGGTGCTTCTATAGAGAACCATGCACCGAATCGTTCGTATGTATGTTCATGGCGTCTTTCCTTGGGACAAAAGTTAATAGGAAGGTAGGTTATCAAATTAGTGGTTACCAGAAAAATTGTTCCCTAATGAGTTTCTATAAATTTTAGGGTTTTGGTAAGTAAAACTTCTACAAATTAATAAAAAAATTTCGGTCCAGAATTGGGCCAACGTAATTTTGGACATAATTAGATAATAAAATTAGATAATTTTTTTTTTGAAAATCCTATGTAAATATATGATCCTATTAATATAATAAATTAATAAATATATAAAATTATCAATATCTATGTGTATATATACACATTAATTTTTGTTAGAGTATTTCTAAAATGTTTACTTTATAGAGTTTTTACGGTCATAACATTATTAATTTATAGATATTTTAATTTACATTATATTTTTACCCTAATTTTTTAAAAATAATATTGAACTAATTACTATTTATTTATTTTGATTTTTCATTGTTACATTACATCAAAAAAATAATTTATATTATAAATTAATCTATGAACTACCGAAACTCATTCGTCAGAGTCAAAAATCTTGAAAGCTTTTGGAATCTGCCTGATATCACAAATAAATAAGAAACATATAATTATTTCGGATAGTTCTTTTTTATACTAGAAAATTGAAACTAATTTTGCGATTTAGAAATTTTACTCAATATTCTTATTTTATTTTTTTGTAGGATCATGCTTAGACAAATGACAATGATATGAATCATATATGTGAGAGATGTTGGAAGTGATCAGTTTAATTCCAAGAGACTTGAATTTGACCATATTTTTTCTTGAGAACACAAAATTTGGAACGAATTTATTTGATGTGATTAAGAAAAATGAGAATATAGATAGTGATCTAAAATCTTGAACAGCCAGATTATGGCACCAAGTACTGCGTCAAACAATAGAAACCAGTCAGGCTATTCCAAATCAGGCATTCGACTATTGAGAGGAACATATAAGTCTAGTAGGTGGTGTGTTCAGTACTGTGTGGCTAATATTTTTCTATGTCAAAATTTGTTTCTGAAGTATATATAGATATTGTATTAAGTGATATATATATATATATATATATATATATACATTAAAAAAACTAGTAACAGTAGAATTAGATCAACAGTAAGCAAAACCAATATGGAGAAGAACAACAAGATCGATGTCACTGAAAGAGTTATAGACAATGATCAATTGAAGTAGAAACATACTAAAAGTTAAAGAATACTATGAAAATCAAACCTCCAAGATCAGTCGCCTCAATGTTATTTCAGAAACATCACATTCTCAACATGATTTGGAAAGATAAAGAATTCATAAGGGCCAGGGTAATGCATCGATACCTTATCTTCAATTCCTTTGATTTTAACTCTCTCAACACTCTCTTTCTCCATATTATAGTAAGAAACATAGAATGGAGCGGTCGAACGATTTGACGCACCAAAAATTTCACCCCTATCAGTTAACCTTATAGCCTCAAAAGTTGTATCTGGAAAAACAAACCTGTGCTTCGACCATTCCACTTTCTTGGTGTCGTCAAGAACCCATAGCTGAGCAAGACCAGTATTAGGAAAAACCACTAGGAGACCTAATTTTCCCTTGTAGTTTATAAGACACAAAACATTAACGTAGATCTTTATTTCTATAAAACTAAATGTCTCATACCTAACATCAAAGCATACTATCGTATTTTTAGAATTTTTGTAATACAAAACCCCATTGGTGCATATCGCGTAGGTCCTTTTCAAAGGATAATGCGGGAACGAACATTCAATCTTTCTCCACAAATGTTCTCCTCCGGTCCCTAGTCTCAAAACATGATGCTCTTTAAAGGATGTTATGCACAAAACCTTGAATTGTTTCTCGATAGGATCATACCCTAAAAAGCTTTTCGAATGACAATTTCTAACTCCCAATTTAGGTAAAGGTATTTGCTGACCTGTGCTAGGGTTCCATATCACAGAAACTCTATCTATCTTTCCCTTTCCCTTCCTCCGCCTATTGTTCAGATATATAAATCCATGAACAGATTGAAAACTTTGCATGCACCAATTCTCATAAAACCCCGTTTGATGATAGTCTGTTGCTATCACATTGACAATATCTATGGGAAGCGTCTCTCTTACATACGTTGAGGGCGATGACTGTGTGTAGCATCTGGTAGAATTGTTCTTCTGCCTATTCATGGCGTCTTTACTCGGCAAGTTTTGCTCTGTTCGATCGATGAATACAATTTTACTTGGGGAAAAAGTTAACTGGATGATACGACTTTACGGAGAAGAGGAAACTAGGTTATCAAGTAGTGGTTAGATCTTTTTTTTTAAAACATCTTCTTTTTTCTTAATAGATGAAAATCGATAATACAAATAAAAGTTATATCATATGAAAAGGTTAACCAAATTTGTTTTTTGTAAAATTTTGTTTTTGGTTGAAATGCCAAATATATTGAATAATGTAACAAAGTAAAATTTAGTAACAAGAAATACAAAATAAATTAAATAAAAAAAAAGAAATTGGGTACACACTAGAACCGAGCTAAAATTTATGACCGGAGGGCTTGAACCACCATATAAGAAGAAGAGTGAAATTTGGTGAGTCGTAGTAATGTAAGGAGCTTTCTTTTATCAGGGATAACGTACAGTAGATAGCTTCATATTCAATGGAGTTCAAGAAAGAGCTATCAATGCTGTTCACCGCGCAATAGGAGACATTCAAGATTGGCTAACATATAACTTTACTCCTATAACTAACCATGCAAATGCACTCCTAATGGTGCGACATGGAATCAGCCGGAAGCTAGGATACTAAAATGTAACTACGACGCAGCGTTTGATCATAGTACTAAACGAGTCAAGGGCGGTTGGATTATCCGAGACACTAATGGTGGTTCACAGGGGTGGAAGCATTATCCCCTTTGGAGGTGGAAGCAAAAGCTTTACTAACAGCTATGCAACAATTTTTTTGGATTAAAGAGATCCGGGCGATATGTTTTGAAGGAGATAGCAAAATTTTATATAAAATCTTAAGTGTGTTCTACATGATATACATTATTGGGCTTTATGTTTTGAGTTCATAGAATTTGTATTTACTAGAAGAAGTTGTAATGGTGTTGCATATTTTATTACCATAATATATATGGTTGTAATATTTCCTCTTGCTTTTCTGATTGTTTAAATCCGCCTTTTTCGCTATCTGAACAATTGTATCATGATTACATTAATTCATTTATATAAATTATATTTTGACAGAAAAAATTACATCAGAAGATATATATGGGTCAAATATCTCTGTTCCTAACTACAATAAAAAAATCTCTATAGCCACTTGAATATTCGTGACTGTGCCTTAATATTCGTGGCTATAGCGCTGTAGCTTATATAATTCGTGCCTTTTTCTAGAAAAATCACCTTATAGCCATGAAATATCGCGATCGCCAAGTGGATATAGGTATTCTTTTTACTAGTGTATATATCAGATAATGTGGCTAGGAAGGTAATGCAATTTTCTTGGAATTTCTCGTGTAACGTTCATTCCAAATGTGATAAATCCTTGCTTTACTGTAGTATTATTGAATGAGTGAACGATAAGGTTGAAAAGCTTGATGGAAAAGTTGTTATCATCTGAAGTCCCAAATCAGTCGCCACTAATGTCCTGCTAAACCGTGAACGATTGGACAAAGATGCAACAAATTATAACCGGCAGTCATATTTTCTCTTTTGGCATCCTTAAAACCTCATAGTTATTACGAAAAGCAGTAGTAGTAAAAGATCACAGTAAACAAAGGAAGATAAATGTCAATTGAAAATTGAGAAAACATGCATAAAGCAAATGAGCAATGGTAATGGAAACATGGTAAGACTTAAAAACAATCAAAATATTAATCCACCTTGAGAGAACTTGATTAGGAGGTCTCACTTGTTCTTGCTCACACTCTAGATGGCCTGATCCTCGATTGTGCCATGAATTATACCGGTTTCCTTATAGAGAAACATCAGATTCTCAACATGATTCATGGAGGTGTGAAACTCATGGCGATGTATTCGCGTAGATACCTTGTCTTCCATTCATTTGATTTCAACTCTTCTAACCCTCTTACTCTCCATATTGTAGTAGAAAACATATGATGGGTAGGTCAAAGGACTTGACACCCAAACAATTTCACCTGTATCAGTTGCGCACATTGATTCCATTTCATTCTTTGGCAAAACAAACATGTCCTTGGACCATTTAGCTTCTTTGGTGTCATCTAAAACCCATACCTCCTTATGTTTTCCACTAGAATTATAAAAACACACTACGGCACCTAACTTTACCTTATAGTTTATGAGTTCCAGTACAATGTGGTCATTTTCTATTTTTATGAAACTAAATTTCTCAGAACTTACATCAAAGCAAACTATTTGCATAGGAATATAACCATTTCCATAAGGTGTGTTGTAATATAAAACCCCGTTGATGCATATCCCGTTCTCCCTCCCGCTCTTACCTCCAGGACGATGCGTAAACGAAGATTCAATCTCTCTCCACAACAGCTCTCCAGTACCTAATGTAAGAACTTGATACTTCATACCATAGAGCTTATTTCCAAAACTTGGTTGTTGTCTACGAACCACGGTCGTACACAAAACCTTGAATTGCTTTTGGATTGGCTCATATGCGAGAAAACTATGCAAATCAAGAATATCAAAACCCCTTGTTTCCAGTTTAGGCAAAGTTATGTGCTGCCTCGTGCAAGGGTTGTATATAACATGATTCATTATTCCTATCATCATATCTTATGTCGTTGCCTTTGACGGATACGTCAGATGGATAAAGCCATGAACAGATTGACAACTTTGTATGTAAGAGTTTTCATAAGAATTCATATGATGTTCTGTTGCTACAACACTGAACTTGTCGCTAAATTTTTGAGGGGATGAAAAGAAGTACCACTTGGTGCCAAATCTGAAGTTGAACAAAAGACGCGGCCGAGACAATGAACTTGTCAGGAAAGCTTCCTTGAAAACTTGGCTGACAAGTAATGAATCCCATTGCTTTGAGACACAACGACAAATTGCGACAGACTTCGCAGGTAATCTTGAGAGTACTTCGATGATGAGATCGTTGGGAAGCTTCTCTGTATTGTGTCGGACGATTTTACGGCGATCCATGCTTTGCCCTACTCCACGAATAGAGTTTCAGGAAAAAGAGGAAGGTACGTAATTTTATATCATATTATTTATTTTTATTTTTATATCAAATCATATTGGTTCATTGAAAAAATATATTGTGATATTTATCAAATCTTTTTCGTTTCTTTTTTATCAGAGTATAATCTTTTTCAGAATCTGTAGTTTTCCTATTAATCTTTTCGCTTTTAGAATATGAAAGATTTTTCTCACTGTTAGGTCTTTATTTAGATATCAAAGATTGGAAGATTTTTAAGAATTTAGGAATTAAAGATTTTTCTCACTTCTGCATACGATAATTGGTTGAGTAATGGACAATCATACGTGTTTGGCTACGTTTTACAAAGCAACAACATAGTCGAATGTGAGAAACAGATGTTCCAAGGAACCTGTGTAGAGGAACCTAACAAACTGTAGTATCTGTTCTTGAGTAAGATTATTAATTGGTACTGGTTTCTCCTTAAGATATAGATTCCAGCTTAGGGTTGGAAAACGTATAGATTAAGCACACAAGAATGTTTCAGATAAAAGTTGATCATCCACATCTCCCACACCGTAGAACCTAGGGACCCAAACCTAGAAACCCTAAACCAGATTCGAAAACAAAAGACATGAAAACCCTAGCTTGTTAGTAAAGCTTACCAAGAGGTCTGACTTGTTCTAGCTCATCACACTGTTGATGGCCTAATTCGAGATTGTGCCATGAATTAAACCGGGTTTCTTGTAGAGAAACATCAAATTCTCAACATGATTCGTGGAGGTGTGAAACTCACAGCGATCTTGTCTCATAGATACCGTATCTTCTACTCCTTTGATTTCGACTCTTCGAACCCTTTTACTCCCCATACTACAATAGGAAATATATGATGGATGGGTCCAACGACTTGACACCCAAACAATGTCACCTCTTTCTGTCGTCCACATTGATTTCACTCCATCCATTGGCATAACAAACATGTGCTTCGACCATTTAACTTCATTGGTGTCATCTAAAACCCATACCTCAGCATGAAATCCACAATTACTATAACACACTAGGACACCTAACTTTTCGTCCTTATAGTTTATGAGCTCCAGTACATAGCGGTCCATTTCTATGTTTATGAAACTAAATTTCTCTGAACTAACATCAAAGCAAACTATTTGACTATCACCGCAACTTGTATAAGCTATGTAATACAAAACACCTTTGATGCGTATCCCATTCCTCCCGCTCTCAGGATGATGCGGAAACGAACATTCAATCTCTCTCCACAACAGCTCTCCAGTCCCTAATGTCAGAACTTTATACTTTCTATCATACATTGTGCACAAAACCTTGAACTGTTTTTGGATTGGATCATACGCGAAAAAGCTTTGCGAACCAAGATTCCTCGTTTCCAATCTAGGTAAAGTTATTTGCTGCCTTGTGCAAGGGTTGCATATAACTTGAGACGGCTCATCTACCTTTGACAGACACCTCATGTAGATAAATCCATGAACAGATTGAAAACTTCGTATGTCAAAGTTTCTATAAGAACCCATATGATATTTAGTTGCTACAACATTGAGGTTGTCACAAAAATTTTGACGCTTAGGGGTTGAAAAGAATTGCCACATCCTGTCAAATTTGAACAGAAGAAGCGGCCGAGACAATGAACTTGTCAGGAAAGATTCCTTGAAAACTTGGCTGGCAAGTAATGAATCACAATGCTTAGAGACACAACGACAAATTGCGACAGACTTCGCAGGTAATCTTGAGAGTACTTCGATGATGAGATCTATGGGAAGCTTCTCTGTATTGTGTCGGAAGAATTTATGGCGATCCATGTGCTTTGCCCTATACTCCACGAATAGAGAGGAAAAAGAGGAAGGTACGTAGTTTTATATCAAATCATATCTGGTTAATAAAAAAAATATATTGTGATATTTATCAAATCTTTTTCTTTTATTTTTGCCAGATTTTTTTTTATAATATATTTTGGAATATGTAGTTTTCCTATTATTTCACCTTTTTAGTGTGAGATTTTTCTCACTGTTAAGTCTTTAATTTAGGACTTAACTAGGGTTTGGAAGAGTGAGTATTATTTCTCTCGTATATGTTTACCACCTTTCAATGCCCAGCTGCGTTATGTACCCACTTGATCACAGAGTTTTAACAGTTGTATGAATCCCAAATATCCTTTGCAAAATTTTCCCTAAACATATATTTCATATACATTTTAACTCACAGAAAGTTGCGGATCCAAATATTTTTTTAGATCTTACCGATTTGTTGGAGTTTTTTTTATAATTAGTAAATTGCATAACATCAATATAAATTAAATCGGCTTGATTTGACATGTCTTATATTGGTGTTGCTAAAAATGTAAAACAAATAATTATATATATGAAGTATCTAATGAATGATATATATTTTTTTAGTAAGATCGATTCAAACCCGTCGTCTCGTCATATATCCTGTCCTGCAATATAATATGAATTTGTTATCTTAAATTTATAATTAAGTTTAAATTTATCAGTGATAAAATTTGAAACTTCTTAATAGTTTAACATTTATTATATACAATATAATTTAAGAAATCACCTAAAATCAAATTAAATGATGGATGCTTGTATTAAGTGAAATTTTCTGCTCATTGGAATTATAATTTATTTTGATCTTATGTATAATATGACTCTAGATCATTCTCTAAATATGTTAGCCCATGTAGACATAAACACACATTGTTTTATTATTTGAGTAATATATGTCCGTTTTAAAAAGTTTGAATCTCAAAACATGCAGAGAAGTGAGAATTTATTAAGTGATGGACCTAAGATTGTTGTATGCTACATGCTATACTTCTTTTCTTAGTAAATAATTTTCTACCAATGCAAATGTCCTACCAGACATTGCTTAGGATATGTTTTCGTAGGAAATTGGTAAGAAAATATTATGTTTTCTTCCATTTTACTATGTTTTTTGCATAGGAAAACATTGTTTTCTTGTATGGCCGCAAAGAATTTTCCATTATACAATAGTTTATGTAACTATTCTCATAATTTGCAATAAATAATAAAATCAAGACATTAAAAAACAAAAATTAATTAAAATCATAAAAATTAAGCTGCATCAATTTTGAACTTAGAACCTACTTTAAATTTTGACAATTTTATTGATAATAATTGTCACCATCTTCGAAGAGCATCGTATCTTGAAAGGTCTGTCCAAGGTCATCGATCTTTGATGCCGTGGTATGATCTAACTTCTGCAAGCGAGTGAGTTCTTCCTCACATAATTGTTTGAGTAATGGACAATCATACATGTTGGCTGCCTTGTACAAAGCAACAGCATTGTCGAACGTGAGAAACATATGTTCCAAGGAACCTGTATAGAGGAACCTAACAAACTGTAGTAGCTGTTCATGAGTAAGATTATTAATAGGTACTGGTTTCTCCTTAAGATATGGGGGCTGCACTTCACTATCTTCTAAAAACTCCTTAAAGGTTTTAGCTCCAGCAGCTAAGATGATCCTATGGCAAGGTATGACCGGGCTTTCTTTAGTTGCTTGGAGCCATATATCTACTTCAAATTCATCTTTCCATGCTTTTTCAAGTGTTTCCATGAATTTGTCTTGGTTTGTTGCCATACTCTGCAAGAAGTTGAAACAAAAAATTAAGTTAGTAATACAGAGAAATCAGAAACATTGATATAGAGTTAAAGATGCAATGAAGTACGTACTTATACAAATCTGAATCAAGGCTAGGGTTGGAAAACGTATAGATTAAGCAGAAGAATGTTACAAAACAGATCGGTAGTAACAAACCTAGAAGACTTAAAACGAGGTCCGATAACAAAAGAAACGAAAACCCTAGCTCTGTTGGTACGTACCGCCGACAGAAACTAACCAAATTCGTAGGGCTTTTACTTTTTCTTTTATATGTTGAATGAATTTCTAATTTCTTTCTTTTTTTTCCTTTTTTTTTTTTTTTTTTTTTACTTTTTTATTAAAAAATATTTTTAATATTTTACTTTTACCAGTTTTCGTCCTATAAAAAAATAAAAAATAAAAAAGTTTTCGTCCTATATCTTAAGTGTTTCAAGTAAACACATCTTTTTTATTTTGAGTACAATTTCTTTTCTTTTTATTTTTGGTTAAAATGCCAAATTAATTTATCAACGTAACAAAGTAAAATTTATTATAAAGAAAGAGAAGATAAAATAAAATAAAAAATAATTGGAAACACACTAGAACCGAGCTAAATCTATGGCCGGAGGGCTAGCTATAACCACCATCGAAGAAGAAGAGTGCAAGCTTTAGTGAGTCGTAATAATGTAAGGAGCTTTCTCTGTTCCGAACTACTTGATGAGCTCTTAGGTGTTTCTTAGGCTAAGAAAAGCAAAAAAAATGTCTCTTATAATGATGGTGCAATTTGCTTGTGATGTCTCGTGTTATGTTCATTCCAAATATGATAAATTGTTGCGTGAGTGTAGTATTATCGAATGTGGTAAGTTTGAAAAGTTGTTATCATCTGAAGTCCCAAATCAGTCACCATTAAATGTCCTGCTAAACCGTGAACGATTGGGCAAAGATGCAAGTATGCAGTCATACTTGCTCCCTTGGCCTCCTCAAAACCGATCATAGTTCATACGAAAAAGCAGTAGCAGTGAACTTAGAAATGTAATAATATAACAAAATAAAATAAAAATGTAAAAAGAAGATAAATGTCAATGAGAATTTAGAAATCATGCATAAAACAAACGAGCAATGTCGTAAGAAAACACTCGTCTCCCGGCCAGTTTACAATTCTTTTTTGATGTAAAGTTGATCGATATATAGCCAGCTGACACTATTTCAACAAATTTGGGACAGATAACGTTGTCGGAATTCGTCAATAACATGTTTTTCCAATGGTTTTTCGATTAAAAGTCCCCGAATCGCCTCCGCATCATGTCAATGAACTTCATGTTCTCCGCGTTTTGTCGGGCGTTCTCTTCGCCCTGCCGCTTGATCTCCGCGTTTTGTGCCAAGATTGTCTTGCATGTCTTCTCCAATACTTTGATTCTAGTATCCTTTTCCCTGAGCTCTTGTATGATCTCCGGGTCAAGGTAAAAAGAAGAAGAAGAATAAGCAGAATCAGTTTGGTTAACACGATTTCCTAACCTAGAGTGATGACCCTTACTTGTCGATATTTCCTGCGAGTTTATAACATTTACTACAAAATAAATAAAATAAATCAACAAAAATTTTAATTATGAAGAAAACAAAACATACCTTAATGTTATTAGATGCTGATGATCCATGCTTGATTAGGAGGTCTGACTTGTTCTTGCTCACACTCTTGATAGCCGGATTCGCGATCGTGCCATGAATTAGACCGGGTTTCTTGTAGAGAAACATCAAATTCTCAACATGATTCGTGGAGGTGTGAAACTCATAACGATCTTTTCCCGTTACCTTATCTTCCATTCCTATGAGTTCAAATCTTCTAACCCTTTTACTCTCCATAGTGTAGTAGAAAACATATGATGGATAGGTCGAAGGACTTGACACCCAAACAATTTCACCTCTATCAGTTGCCAACATTGATTCCATTGCATGATCTGGCAAAACAAACTTGTGCTTCGACCATTTAGCTTCAATGGTGTCATCTAAAACCCATACCTCACCGCGAATTTTCCCATTACACTTAGTAAAACACACTACGACACCTAACTTTCCCTTATAGTTTACGAGATTCCGAACAAAGAGGTCTTTTTCTATTTTTATGAAACTAAATTTCTCAGAACTTACATCAAAGCAAATTATTTGCATAGGAATATTACCATTTGCATAAGGTGTCTTGTAATATAAAACCCCGTTGATGCATATCCCGTTATCCCTCCCGCTCTTACCTCCAGGACGTTGCGGAAACGAACATTCAATCTCTCTCCACAACAGCTCTCCACTCCCTAATGTAAGAACTTGATACTTCATATCATAGAGCATATTGTCAAAATTTGTTGGTTGTTTACGAACCATGTACGTACACAAAACCTTGAATTGTTTTTGGATTGGATCATACACGAAAAAGCTTCGCATATCATAATATCTCGTTTCTAGTTTAGGCAAAGTAATGTGCTGTCTCGTGCAAGGGTTGTATATAACTTGAGTCGTCTCATCTATTTCCTTTGACCGATACCTCAAATAGATAAATCCATGAACAGATTGACAACTTTCTATGTAACAATTTTTATAAGAACCCATATGATGTTCTTTGGCTACAATACTGAAGTTTTCACCAAATTTTTGAGGCTGAGGGGATGAGAAGAAGTGCCACTTACTTCCAAATCTGAAGTTGAACAAAAGACCCGGCCGAGACAATGAATTTGTCAGGAAAGATTCCTTGAAAACTTGGCTGGCAAGTAATGAGTCCCATTGCTTCGACACACATCGAAAAATTGCGACTGACTTGGCAGGTAATCTTGAGAGTACTTCGATGATGAGATCATTGGGAAGCTTCTCTGTATTGTGTCGGACGATTTTACAGCGGTCCATGTTTTGCCCTAGTCCACGAATAAAGAGTTTTACGAAAAAGAGGAAGGTACGTAGTTTTGTATCAAATCAAATTTGATTAATAGAGATAATATCGGGTGATATTTTATTATCAAATCTGTTACTTTTATTTTTGCCAGATTTACCATAATCTGTTACTTTTATTTTTGCCAGATTTACCATATTTTATTAAACTAAATCTGTTACTTTTATTTTCCAATATGTATTTTCACTTTTTTGGTTTTAAAGATTTTTCTCATTGTAAAGTCTTCAATTTAAGGAATTAACTAGGGGTTAATTGGAAGGGTGGGTATTATTGCTCCCGATGTGTCAAACGGGCCGGACTGCGTCCATCTGCGCCATCCTCAGGACGCATATGTTTTTTTAAAACCCAAACAAGCCGGCCCGTCGGTCTAAAAAATATATTTTAAAATTTAATCAAAATTGAAAATTAATTAGTTTTAAATATTTTTTAACTAAAACTAATGTTTATATTGGCTTTGTTAGATTTTTTATTTTATTTTTTACATTAAATTTATTTGTGTTGCTATATATTTTTAATATTCTATATTTATAATTACGTAAGAATAGTTATTTAATACCCGCAATCTGTTTGGGCTGGCCCGCGAGGCCTACTATTTAACGGGCTATGGTACTAATTGGACTAGGTTTGCGGGCCTGAAGCCTGTTTGACACCTCTACTCATACATGTTTACTATCTTTCAGTGCCTAGCTACGTTGATTGGAATGATGGTATTATTGCGTTATTAAGTAAAATTTCATGCTCATTAGGATTAGAATTTATTTTGATCTTATGTAAAATATGGCTTTAAATCATTCTCAAAAGATTTTAGCCAATTTAGATATTAAGAATATACTTTTATATTAATTGAGTAATATATGTCCATTTTTTTAGTTTTGAATCACAATGCATGCAGAAAAGTTTGATTTTATTAATTTTATATATTATATGATGATTCGAGATAATTAAACAATCAAATTAAAAAAGTATTATAGGAGAATGATAATTGAAATATTGACAAAATCTTCTAGAGATGTATAATATTTCCATTTATAACTATTTTTCATTGACTTTTAAAGATATTATATTAAATACAATGAAATTCTTTGTATTTTTTTTTTGAATATAAAGATTCATTTCATAAATGTACTTCAAAAATACCTAAAGTTGTCAATATGTGATTAGCTTTGAGTTTTTATAATTAAAAAGTTTTAAAAAAATTCAATAAATTTGTAGATATTAAAATAATATATAGAAGAGACTCTCATGGTGCTTGTGCACAACTGCACATGCTCTTAGGAGCTTTCCTTAATGGTTAGTTTCGTATCCTCACTCTTTGACTCTTGGGCATCAGAGTATCAACAAATTGACAGATTATTACATTGTCTTTTTCCTTTATGTTAAATGAAATTTCTTGTTGTAGACTTGAAGCTAATGGATCTGTGACTGTGATGGACCTAAGATTGTTATATGCTACGTACTAGACTTCTTTTCTGAATATGGAATTTTTTACCAATGGCAAATTTCTACGATAATTTTTCTATAATATGTTTTATAGGAAAATGGTAAAAACTAAAAATAATATGTTTTCTATCATTTTCCTACATTTTTTTGAGTAGGAAAACACTGTTTTCTTATATGACCGCAAAATTTTTCATTATATAATCATCTATGTAACTGTATAATTTGCAATAAATAATAAAATCCAAACATAAAAAAAAAATCAAATTAAAAAATAAAACTAAATTAATTAAAATCATAAAGATTAAGCTGCATCAATTATGAACTTAGAAACTAAGATCAAGCACCTTTGAACAAATCATTATATTGTCTATGAAAGGTCACCGAGTGAGAGAGAGAACGAAACCTCATAGTTCAGAAGGGAGAGCAGTAGCAGTAAAAGATCAGCAGTCAACAAAAGAAGATAAAAGAAATGTAATAATAAGATCAATGTCAATGAGAATTTAGAACACATCCATAAATCAAACGAGCAATTGAAATGGAAACAATTTACTGAAGAAACCTATTAAAACTAAACTAGCAATGTCGTAAGAAAACACTCATCTCACGACCAGTTTACAATGCTGACACTCTTTCAACAAATTTCTGACAGGTTACTTTGTCCGAATTCGTCAATAACATGTTTTTCCAATGGTTTTTTCGACTAAAAGTTCCCGAATCGCCTCCGAATCATGTCAATGAACTTCATGTTCTCCGCGTTTTGTCGAGCGTTCTCTTCAACATGCAGCTTCATCTCCGCGTTCTGTGCCAAGATTGTCTCGCATGTCTTCTCCAATACTTTGATCCGAGCATCCTTTTCCCTGAGCTCTTGTATGATCTCGGGGTCTCGGTAAATAGAAGAAGAAGAAACACGATTTCCTAACCTAGAGTGATGACCCTTGCTTGTCGGTATATCCTACGAGTTAATAACAATTAATTACTACATAGTAAATGAAAATAAATCAACAAAAATTCAATAATCAAGAAAACAAAAGATACCTCAATGATCATGGGGTTGATACCTTCCTGAGTCACATTGTTATTAGATGCTGACGATCCATATTGAGAGAGCTTAATAAAGAGGTCGGCCTTGTCCTTCGTCACACTATAGATGGTCTGATTCACGATCGTGCCATGAATTATACCGGTTTCCTTATAGAGAAACATCAGATTCTCAACATGATTCATGGAAGTGTGAAACTCATGGCGATCTTTTCCCGTAGTTACCTTGTCTTCCATTCCTTTGATTTCAACTCTTCTAACCCTTTTGTAGTTACCTTGTCTTCCATTCCTACTCTCCATATTGTAGTAGAAAACATATGATGGAGTAGTCCAAGCTATTTCACCAGTATCAGTTGCCCGCATTGATTTCACTACTTGTATTGGCAAAACAAACATGTGCTTCGACCATTTAACTTCATTGGTGTCATCTAGAATCCATACCTCATTATAATATCTAAGGGAATAATTAAAACACACTAGGACACCTAACTTTCCCTTATAGTTTATGAGATTCTTCACAAAGCGGTCCTTATCTATTTTTATGAAACTAAACTTCTCAGAACTTACATCAAAGCAAACTATTTCCGAAGCATTAGTGCCATTTCCATAAGCTATGTAGCAATATAAAACCCCGTTGATGCATATCCCATTCATCTCGCTCATAGGATGATGCGGAAACGAACATTCAACATCTCTCCACAACAGCTCTCCAGTACCTAATGTCAGAACTTTATAGTTGACTCTATAGATACTTCCTGGTGGTCTAAAAACTACGGTCATGCACAAGACCTTGAATTGTTTTTGGATTGGATCATAAGTGAGAAAGCTTTGCAAATCAATACTCTTAATTTCCAGTTTAGGTAAAGTAAGGTGCTGCCTCGTGCAAGGGTTGTATATAACATGAGTCGTCTCATATATATTCGTTCTCCTCGACCCATACCTCAGATAGATAAATCCATGAACAGATTGACAACTTTGTATGTAACAATATTCATAAGAACCCATATGATGTTCATTTGCTACAATACTGAAGTTGTCACCAAATTTTTGAGGCTGAGGGGATGAGAAGAAGTGCCACTTACTTCTAAAACTGAAGTTGAACAGAAGACGTGGCCGGGACAATGAAATTGATAGGAAAGATTCCTTGAAAACTTGGCTGACAAGTAATGAATCCCATTGCTTCGACACACAGCGACAAATTGCGACTGACTTGGCAGGTACTCTTGAGAGTACTTCGATGATGAGATCATTGGGAAGCTTCTCTGTGTGGCCTCGGACGATTTTACGGCGGTCCATGGTTTGCCCTGCTCCACGAATAAAGAGTTTTACGAAAAAGAGGAAGGTAGTTTATATTGGATATCAAATCATATTGGTTAATTGAAAAAATATATTAAAGATATTTGTCAAATCTTTTTTCTTTTTGCCAGATTTACCATAATATTTTTAGAATCTGTAGTTTTCCTAGGAATATAAATCGTTGTAATATTTTTCTAACAGATTTCTGACAGTTTTTTATGTAATTTAATACTATTAAGAGAAATACCACTCTGTATACTCAAATTAAAAACAAATTAAGTATTTGACCTCAATAATTTTAAAATTAGTTCTCTCTCATAGTTATTTTAGTTGGACGAAAATACCCCTATATATGGTAACAAATAAATTAACGAGATAACATACTAAATATCAATAAATTATAGACTTTTTTTATCCAACATTTATATGTCATATGTTTTTAACTTCTACAATATGATACAATGATTCAACACGATAATAAATAATTTATCAGAATAATTTCAAACTTACCATATAACTTATAGTGTTATTATTAATTTAACAGATAATATGTAAATTATCGCGGTAACAGATTATTTAACATGTTTAAAAATAAGTTATCAAATGCTATTAATCACGGATGAACAGTATTATCAAATTCTATCAATAAAAAATGAATAGTGTTAGTATTAATTTAATTGATAATATGTAAATTATCGCGATAACAGATTAGTTAACATGTTTAAAAACAAGTTATCGAATGCTATGAACAGTGTTACGTATCCTACACTTTTTTGTTTGTTTTTGCTAAACCAAGTGAAGGACAGAAATGTCATTTTAGGTGGCTGGAAGTGAGAGAACTAATTTTTAGATTATTAAATCCTTACTTTTTGTTTTTAGTTTATTGAGGTACAGATTTTTAACAAGCCCTACTATTAATCACTTTAAAATAACCATTGAGTGTAACAGTTTAATTTATAAAATATAATTATTGAAAAGAAAATTTGTATTAATGATACTTTATCTATAAAATAAAAAACAAAAAAATATTTCTAATTTAAAATAAAAATAAAAATATGGCCTCCACATCATGTTACTGAATTCCATATTTTCCACTTTTTTGAGCTGTGAGTCTCGCACGTCTTCTTTAATCCTTCAATCCAAGCATCGCTTAAACAAGTTGGGTTAAAGTACAGTTCCTAACTTAGAATGATGACTCTTGCTTGTTGGAGTTTCCTACTACTAGTTGATAACAATTACTTCAATGCCAGTAAAGAAAATAAATCAACAAAAATTTAATACTTAAGAAACCAAAACATAACTCAATGACCATGCCAGTTGATATCTTCAAAAGGCTCGTTGTTAGCTTCTGACGATCCATCTGACTTCTTCTTCTTCATGGCGGCCGCCTGATCCGCCATTGTGCCATGAATTAGACCAGTTTCCTTATAGAGAAACATCAAACTCTCAACATGATTCATGGAGATGGGCAAGCCATAGCCACCTTGTCCAATGTATTCCTTGTCTTCCAATCCTCTGACTTCAACTCTTCTAACACTCTTTTTCTCCATATTGTAGTAGAAAACATTAGAGGGATAGGTCGAATAATTTTTCACCCAAAACAATTTCACCAGTATTAGTTGCCCACATTGAGTTTACTACACTGAGACATGTGTTTGGCAAAACAAAGATGTGCTTCGACCATTCAACTTTGTTGGTGTCACCTAGAACCCATAACTCATGACGTTTATTACAATGCACTACGACACCTAACTTTCACTTGTAGTTTATGAGAGTCGTCACAATGTGAATCTCTTCTATATTTATTAAACTAAATTTCTCAGAAGCAACATTAAAAGCAAACTATATTCATAGCATTACTGTCACCATTTTTTAACCCATCTACGTAGTATAAAACTCCATTAATGCATATGTTGGAATCTCAAGCCAACTTTTCATTAGTATGATATTGTCCGCTTTGGGCATATAACTCAATCCCGCACGGATTTATTGGGTTTCTTCCCAAAAGGCCTCATACTAATTGGAGTGGGACTTGACTTATATATTAGAAACTTCTCTTTCTAATCTTCCGATGTGGGATATTGGTTTGTATTCCAATACTCCCCCTCAGACCAATATTTATTCTCCTAGGTCCACAATCTTGACCTACGCTCTGATACCAATTGTTGGAATCTTTAAACCAAGCCAACTTTACATTAGTATGATATTGTCCGCTTTGGGACTATAACTCAAGCCCGCACGGATTTATTGGGTTTCTTCCCAAAATGCCTCATACTAATTGGAGTGGGACTTGACTTATATATTAGAAACTTCTCTTTCTAATCTTCCGATGTTGGATATTGGTTTGTATTCCAATAGCATATCCCACTGATCTTTGTCTAATTGTCTTGGGATAATACGGAAACGGACATTGGATCTGTCTCCACAACAGTTGTCCTGTCCCTACCGTCAGAACATGTTACTTGATACTTTCTGGTTCTCCATAAACTGCGGTCTTGCACAAGACCTTGAATTGTTTTTGGATTGGATCATACACGAAAAAGCTTTGCACTACATCAAGATCATTCGTTACCAGTTTAGGTAAAGCTATGTGCTGCCTCGTGCAAGGGTTGCATATAATATGATTCGTTCTTCCTATCATCATATCTGTCGTTGTTCCCTTTGACCTATAAGTCAAATAGATAAATCCATGAACAGATTGATAACTATTTATGTAACAATTTTCATAAGAAACCATATGGTATTTAGTTGCTACAACCCTGTAGTTGCCTCTAACTTTTATAGGCTGAGGAGATGAGAAGAAGTGCCACTTGCTGCCAAATCTGAGGGGGAACAAAAGACGCGGCCGAGACAATGAATTTGACAGGAAAGATTCCTTGAAAACTTGGCTGACAAGTAATGAATCCCATTGCTTCGAGACACAACGACAAATTGCTACATACTTCGCAGGTAATCTTGAGAGTACCTCGATGATGATAAGATCTAATTACTCTGCTTCACAACACAAATAAGCTTCAACTATTCTTAGTTCATGGCATCCTCAAACACTCACAGCTCATAAGGATTGGGTGATGTGGCTAATATTTTTACAATACATAAAGTGAATATACATATAACTAAAAAGAACAGTAGCAGTAGATTATCATGAGTAACAAGATCAAGATCAATGTTGCAGACAACATCCATAAGAAACAACGAACAATGATTATATTAATAAAACTGGAAATCTATAAAGAACCAATAATATATTAATGGTTTTCTTGCAAAACACCCAAAAAAAAGGATTCAAAAAGAAGTAAAAACAAAATCAAACCCTAAAGATACGTGATGATCACTCTACATGGAATGGTCCTTCTGGATCGAGCTGTTCGCATTGACGAAGATAAGTTGTGTAGAGAACACGATCTTTACAACCTGTTCGATGCTTACCATTAGCCTGACAAAAGAACTTAAGCTGGTCCAAAGTACAACATCCCAACATTCCCCCTAACATAAGAAACAACCAGTTAATTTCTTCCATTCTCTCGTTATTAAGCAGAGGCTTCATATCAGTCTTGCATGTCACGCACTGAGTCAATGTTGGATTTAACCATCTAGCTGGTGCTCGTAGACGCATAATCTCCATGTTAGCTTTAACGTACACAGACAACTCCGAAAACCTCTCAATCAGATTATAGTACAACGTATGAGTCTTATTGCAAGGTTTGCAGTAGACTTGACCATGGATCATGTTTATATTCATTGCAATCAAGTCACTGATGGTATGAACTACGCAAGGCTTATTTGTAGACCATGGATACGGTGGTACAATCTCCCTGATGACTTTCTTTTCAACAGCATCCGTATTTGTTGGATTAAGACGTGCTTGTGCTCCTGGTGGCCGACCTCTGCGAGGACGAGGGTGCTGCGGGGCAGATACACGAGTTTCCATGGGTGCGGTTCTAACCTGGTTCAGTTGATGAAGAGGGTGAAGGGCTTGTTCGGGAAAAAACCAATGTGCATCTTCGTTCAAGTCTTGAAGTAAAGACATCATGTGATCTCGTGGAGGAGGAGAACGTTGGATACTTTGTGGAGGATGATCTAATGATGTCAAGAGTTGCATGAACGAGCCTTGACCCTGGCTTTGTTCCTCCACAGGTTCTTGTTGATGATCTTGAGGAACCAACCGGTCTTGTCTTCTCATGAGGTCTTGTCTTCTCATGGGATGTAACCCTAAAGACAGATCAAGATTGAGATCATCATCATAATCTCTATGTTCGTCACTCATGGTTGGTGTAAAGCGATACCGAGATGATGATGAGATCGAGAGAAAGCGTATTTGTGTTTTCACTTTTTGACTTTCTCCTACAATCGTATATTTACAGAACGAAAGAAGAGGGATTTGTATTATTTTCACATTATCCACATTCAATATTTAATGAAATATATATATTTTACAGAATTCTGTTTCTTTTATTAAATATTTATTATTTTAAGATATATATGAATACCATTTTTTCACTGTCAAATTTTTCATAGATATATCAATAAGTCATTATTATCTACTATTGTAACAAACAAATTATAATATTTCGAATTTATGCAACAATCATTTTTTTTTTCGAGTGTGGGTTATATAACACAATAAACTTATAATGTTTGAGTTTAGTAAAAGTGAAGAATCCTTGCTTTAAGTTTAGATTTCTGCCAAAACCTAACATCAAAACATACTATAGTAGATCAATGTCGTAGACAACATCCATAAAAAAACAACAGTGATTAATAAAAACTAGAATCTATTAAAGAATCAGAAACAATTAAAAACAAAAAGAAACGAAAACTAGTGACAAGCCTTAAAAATTGATATTAGAGAAACATCACATCCTCAACATGGTCTAGGAAGGTGAAATGAGCTTCAGGGCTATCTTCAATACCAATCAATAATTTTTCTTCGATTCCTTTGATTTCAACTTTTCTAACACTCTTCTTCTCAAGGTTATAGTAGAAAACATAGAATGGTCGTGTCCATTGACTTAGCACCCAAGCAATTTCACCTGTATCAGTTGCCCAAATTGATTTTTGTATACTTGTACGTGGCATAACTGAGATATACTTCAAGCTTTTATCTTTCTTGGTATCATCTTGAACCCATAACTCATCTTGACCACCCAAAACCTGTATTACGACACCTAACTTTCCCATGTAGTTTATCAACAAAAAAATCTGAGTTAACCTAGGCCCCTTTTCTGATTCTATGAAACTAAATTTCTCAGACCTAACATCAAAACATGCTATCAAAGTAGTCATGTTGGACCGCACCGCTATGTAATACAAAACACCATTGATGCATATCCCATTGCTGTAGTTTATAGGATAATGCGGAAACGAACATTCGATCTTTCTCCACGATAGTTTTCCCTTGTCTAAAGTCAAAACTTGATGCTCATTGGAGCTATGTTGTACTCTTCTATCAAATGTCACGGTTATGGACAAAACCTTGAACTGTTTGTCGATCGGATCATACCCGAGAAAGCTTGTCAAATTACTATTTTTTGCTCTAACTTTAGGTAAAGGTATGCGCTGACCTGTGCTAGGGTTATATATCACAGGAACCCTTTCTAGCTTTCCCTTTAGAATCTGTTTATCTAAAAGATAGACAAAACCATTGGAAGATAGACAAGTATTGTCGTTCCAATCTCCAGATAAACTCATATGATAGTCTGTTTCAACAACAGTTGCGTGCTTATCAAGGTTTCTAGGCTGAGGGCATGAGAAGAAGTGCCACTTGCATTCAAATTCGATGGCGAACAAAAGACGCCGTCGAGACAATGAACTTTTCAGGTATAGTTCAGTGAAGTCTTGACGTCGAAGTAAGGATGACCATTGCTTCGACACACAACGACATATTGCTATTGTTTTCGCATGTTGTCTTAAGAGTATCTCGATGATGAGATCGAGGGGAAGCGTAGTTGTGTTTTCACTGTCTCCTACACTCGTTAAGGCTGATGATTGTGTTCTACGTCGGACGATTTTGCAGCGATCCATTGAATTGTTCGTCCGTTTGTTCATAGCGACCATATTTGTGGTATATTGCTCTGCTCCAGCATCTAGGTATATACAGTTAGTTATACTTGAGTACAATATACTGGGATTTACCATAATCTTTTTAAAATCTTTTTTTTTTTGTGGAATATCTTTTTTAAATGTTAGCTTCCTATATTTTGTTTCCTTCTTGACATGAATTTTTATATGCTGGTAAATATTATAGACTGGTAAATATTATTTTTCATTTTTATATTATTCTTCTTCAGCTTTTGAAAAGATTACATATTTAGACTTTTTAAGAATTTTCTGAAAATGTGATGTGTTTTCATCATTATCATATAGTAGAAATTATCTTTAAATTATATTAATTTACATTTTATTAAGTTGAGTTTTTTTTTGGTAATGATTATTAAGTTGAGTTTTCTAATGATATTATTTATCAACAATTCGTTGATTTAAAAATATATATTTTAATACTAAAAATTGAATTATGAGATAATTATTGGAATATTAACTTCTCAATTAGAATGTGGTTTTAATTCTTTTAAATGATTTTATAACGCCTCTTACTAGTTTACTAATTTTTATGGGTGTTTAAAAACTTTTTCACAATTAATTTTAATGTTTTTAATGATAAGTGTTTTTAAAGTATGCAAAAGTGTTTCCAAGTGTAAAACAAATAAGCAATAGAGATGCTCTTACTACAAGTTAAGAAAGTGTGTGCTTGCAACCTAGATATAATTGTTAGTTTATCAACCTTTTTCCAAATATCTTTTATAGTTTTACTAGTAATTAAGTGCCAAGTGAAAAAATGATACATAGGGGAATTAGTAAATTAGTAATGGAGATGATCTTAATTAAGTAACTACCATACTCATACTCTCACAGAAATTGTTAAACATTTTTTTTGCTACTTTCTGTTCTTCTTTTTTTGTTAGCCGTCTTCAAAAGTGTCTGAGTCGGCTGTGAGCATGAGATTAGAGCTTTTACACGGAAATCTTTTAAATTTAAAATACATCCACTAAATTATAACAAAATTTGAAAAAGTGAGATATTCTTGTTTAAAAACTCATAAAATTCTTGTTAGAAACTCATAAATTCTTGATAAGAAACCCATCTTACAAATATCACTTTTATTGGTTTAATATTCTCAATAAATTTAAATTAATTGAAATAACTAATTTTATTATTATAACTAATGTAAAAAAAAATATTATTATTATTCTTTTGCTGACACACTCATGTGAATATGATATTCAGAATATCTTCACTAATAGAGATGCTCTTATAAATTGAAATTCTCTACTTCGTAGAGATCAAACCTTTCTACCTCATACATGATGATTCAGTTGAGGAATTGGGTCAGGTCTTGAGTCAGGTGCGTCTCAGCCACAACAAATTTATAAATATCAACTCTATTCGTATGTTCTCTCATTACTTTACCAAGCATGCAGTATTTTATACGTACAACTTGTTTTAAATTAAATTAATTTTATTTCTAGATGAGTTTGATCATTATCTCCTAATCCTAACCATTATGGTAAAGCAAGTATCACCATTCACTAAACTGTGTCACCCAATCAAGATAGAGCAAGACAAACCTGTACGAACAAAACAGTGAAAGCACTATTTTTATTGTTATTTCTTTTTCATTTTTCCTAAAAAAAAACATTATTATTTATTTTTGAATCGCTAAATTATGTTATAATCATTGATTAATTTCATATCTTTTTTTTTTAATAATCAAAGAGGTTTTGAATTAAAGTTCATACATCTTTTTAGGCCCGATACTAGAACATATTATATCGTCTCGTTTCAAACGTTATTAGAATCGGTATCTTTTTAAATATTTGCCAAAAATCTTTATCAGTCGAGATATTAATACTTAATTAATTCATTCATTTCATATCACTAAATCGAATCAAACAATTAATCAATGTTAGTGGCAATTAAACCCAAAATTACCTTTTTATAATGTTAAAGATTCTTGTGGTGACTCTAAGAACGATTGACGTAAGAAAAAAGAGATAAGAAAATGGATCGATGGAAGCTTTGTCGGCCAATATTTGGGTTTATCTTTAACCCATTTTTCTCTATATACGTGTCCCATCTATTGTTTTCTTCTTAAGCGACGTGTCCTCTTTATAACTTAGAATTTAACACTATCTCTTATCAAAACCATACACTTTGTTTTTATATGAATCAAACAAATTATATTCATTCTTTACTCTCTTTTGCGTTTAATCATGCACACGAAACGAGTAGCTCAACTGGTAAAGATTTTTGGCAAAAGTTTAAAGATCGCTAATTTAAATAAGATTTATAACGAAATTATATAACATATTCAGATATCGGATTTAAAAAGATGTATAGACTTGGCTAGAACTTCTTTGATTATTCAAAAAAAAAAGATAACGAGAAATTTCATTAAACGGATGTGTTCATGTTCTTTGCATGGTTGCACCAGTATTTTGATTGAATCAGACTAAACCGAGAACTGGACCAGGACGAGGACCACAACGACGCAACCAAAACATTTGATTAAAGGAACAAAGCATGTAACTTAAAATAAATAATACTGTAGTTTATGTGGTCCTGTAATGTATAAACAAACATTCAGGTCTCTATCATAAACACGAGTATTTGTCTTAATAAGCAACTTTGGAATAGTATATCAAACAGTCACCATCTATAGAATATAAAATATCTATATTATTATTAACAGTTTCAATGATTAAGGGTTTTTGTTGTATAAAAATATAAATTAGTTAGAATTCAGCTAAATCCTAATATAATTAGATTACAATTCAATCTTACTAAAAAAAAAAAAAAAGATTACAATTCAAAATATATGACTAGAAATTCAATATTTTCATAATTTTGACTATTTTTTTCGTATATTAGAACTTTAATGTGGAAAACTAAGTTCTATATTAAGTTCTCATATACAAAATAATATTTAAGAGATAATATTACACTCCCTTATGTTATAAAGTAAACTGAATTTACATTTTCTAAATTAAAATAATTATCAAAAGATTTGTAAGTTATACTTTTAGAGATAAAGCTATAAATTAAGATGTATCCATAATTTTCTTTTAAAACTTTGTGATTCTTTTTCCTTTTTTTTTTGGGTTACAAGGCCTAATTCTTGATTCTTCCATCACTGGATCTTCGTGATTTTTGTAATTTTCTTTTATCTTTAGGAGAATCTCGAATTCTCCAAAAACAAATTTCAGTCGGTCACATAACAACAATCAATGACAAATTCAATGATAAATTTAGTAAAGAGATAAAAAAAAAAGTGAGAAGTACGAGGTTACTTGGCAATTTCTAATACTTACTTATAAGCAACCGTATCTTTAAGTATTCAATATTGTCACACCATACTTTATATAAAACAAAACTTCCACTACCCACAAAACTTTCGTCTTCTTTAATCAATGGAACGAGAACGAGAACGAGAACAAGAAGAGTCTACGATGCGTAAGAGAAGACAACAACATCAACCACACCAAGAAATAGCTAAGAGGAAACCATATAGAGGGATAAGGATGAGGAAGTGGGGCAAGTGGGTAGCTGAGATTCGTGAACCTAACAAACGTTCACGTCTTTGGCTCGGCTCTTACACAACCGACGTCGCGGCCGCTAGAGCCTACGACGTCGCGGTGTTTTATCTACGTGGCCCTTCTGCAAGACTCAACTTCCCTGATCTTCTCTTACAAGAAGAGGACCACCGATCAGCTGCTTCTGCCGACATGCCCGCCGCTCTTATAAGGGAGAAGGCGGCTGAGGTTGGTGCTAGAGTTGATGCTCTTCTCACTTCTGCTTCTAAGTCACCGTTGACGACGGCTGATGAGTCATCTTTGTCGGTAATAAAACCTGATTTGAATCAAGTACCCGGAGATGTATAATTACAATCATACACAACATATATGTAGTTTGTGTTTTTTTTTTTGTTTGTGTTAGAAGATTACATTTACATACACGATACACAGAAAAATACATGAAGATATAGATATATGCATAAATAATTGTAACAACAAATTGTTATAGACTCTTTATTAGTTGCCCGGAGACAAAACCGGCTAAGAGCAAGTCCATGAGAAGAGTGAGTTTTATAGTTCAAGATGTAATATTAATTCTTAGGTAATTTTGTTTTTAAGTATTTGTAATTCTTGTCATCTTCCTATTTTATTAATTTTGATATTATATGCTTGATGTGGATCTTTGGATTTGTTTGTAATCTCCAATATATATGTTTGTTTACGTTATCTTGAGGATATATATATTGGTGATAGAGAACTTATAAATACGAATACTTGTACTTTACATCAAAGATAATTCTCTATATCTATATCTTTATGTGCTTTCAACGTTAGTTCATCATTCTATTAATTGATCTATTTTATATGATTCGCTAATGTTTGATGACTTGCCTCAAGGCGTGACATGCCTCAAGGCGTGCAAGAAACATTTGTTTGTGTGTTTTTTCTTTCAAGAGAAAGTCAAAATTAACAAAATTCCATAGGGTTTAAATAGTTACGAGGATGAACATATCCATCGACATTTAATTTACTCTAGTTATAGAACGGACAATAAATCATGATATCATATCATTTGTACTTAAAAACTGTCCCTAGTTAGTCTATCCGCAATTGTTTTTTTTATATTAAAATCATATTATTATATATATAATTGGTAATTGGTATCTGAATTCGAATCCGATTCCTCTTAAAAAAAGACGTATAATTTGAAACGATATTAAAAAAAAAAATTGGTAACAGGTAAATAAAAAATTGGTCCATCTATAAAGGCAACATTATTGGTGGGATCTTAGAGGTTAAGATCGCTCGGTTTTTGCAAAGGAAAGATCTTATATAAGATCTTTCCTTTGCAAAAACCGGGGGATCTTATCCTCTAAGATCCCATTGATAATGTTGGTCTAATGGTTATGAGTCCTATACCAATATGTGTGGTATTTACTACAGACATAACCAAAAAAAAAGTTATTTTAATTCCTATATAAATCATAAAGGCGGCTCAGAAATTATATGCTCTTTCTTCTCTTACTTTTTTATTGGTTGCTTGATACAAAAAGTATATCCTTTTAACGAGTAATGAAGTGTATTTGGCAAAACTTGATCGAGTAAATAAAGCAAGATAAAGGTCAATAGCAATACGTAAAAGAAAGAAACTAAACTAAATGATTTAATCAAATAAGAAAACACTGAACAATTGAATTTGAGATAAGCAAAGTACTGAAGATAAGCACGACAAATTAAGATTTCAAAAAACGAAATGTAGTAAACTTGTTGACCTTGATGGTCTGATAAGAGGATGTGCATGCGACTAGTCTCCTCTCTCACCTTCTTATAAATTTGTAGATGGAGGAGTCTTTATCAATTTTTTGACCTTGACGTTTTAAAAATCATCGTTTCAGAACCATTTCAAACAACAAATCAGATTTTCTATTTAATTAGAATTATGCAAAAAGCATTTAGGAGTTTTATCTATAAAATATTAGCTTTTATAAATGTACGAAGAGAGAATTTAACAGATTTATTCTGTTATCTGTAAGATTTTCGTTTAGAAAGCAGGATCATTTCTACTTTTTTGTAAAAATTGTGTTCAATTTTCTTATTTGTTTAATGGTGGTACGAATGTTTTTCTGTATCATGTAAACTTTGGTGGTATAAATTAATTGATTTGTTGTGGAAAAAAAAGCTAAAGACTCTAGAAAATGTAATAAAAAAGATTGTTTACTTTTTACAGAAAATCTGAGTGATGATTACATATGCAAGGTCTCACAAAATATGTACCTCACGACCACATACATTTTTCCATGTTAATTAATGAAGAGAATTTATTTTATGTGATTTGTATATGTATTGTGTAAGTTCATTATGATATCAGATTAAGATGTATTTGTAGAGTATATGTTATGAAACATAATGTGTTCTAGATGATTCAGCGAGACTACGATCTACAAATGGCGAGTGATCCTCACATAAGTTAGAACCGCACATCAATCGCCTTTTGCAGTTCATGAGTCATTTCTCCATGTGGCATGATTCAATTAATATTCACAAACTTAGTAGAATACTACATGTGTATAAATTATACATTAATAATACTTCTATATATTATTAACTTTTCTTTCTTGTCCTTCATCCACGTCATCTGCCACATCATCATTCATTTTTTTTTTCAAGAATTAAGAATATTGTTTACATAGAGATAAAGTTGCGGTTCAACACGCATTCGGCATGCTAATTTATCCACTTGAATATTATAGCAACGAGAGACTTGTAATAACGAGAAAGAAGAGAAAACTTCCTTGTCGGCTTGGATCTCCTCGAGGTACGTAGCGAACGCTGGCTATTCATCTTATTTACTAAGTTTATTTTTTTGTATTTTATTTTAATGTTACAATAGTTATTTAAATTGTATTTAATCTAATAGAAAGGTTTACAAGAATTTTCTGGTTTACGCACTTAAATACAAAACAAAGACATTTATATTATATAGATATATATACCAATATATTAACCTCATCTGAAGCCTTCTTATCCGCCGTTCTCTTTAACGTATTAATAAAATCATTTAAATGTTTTATTGGTGATGAGAATAACCAAATATTTTTGGTAAAATGCTCAATAACCAAATTATATAAATCCTTTTTCGTTTATTGAATCAAACATTATAGTATAATTAAAAAACATTAATGTACAAAAGTAGCATCTAAATCTATCAGTCTATAATGTTGCTTTAATGCAAGATGAATTGGTTAAATGCATACATACGGTGCGCTAAATTAATTTGATAATTTATAATGGTTTGTGTGGATTACAAGAATTGAAGGCTTCTGATATATAATGTTCTACCACGTACTATTAGACCTAAACTACATTAAAACAAATAACAATAAACATTTCAAACTATAAACTAATATAAAATTAAGAAAATCAATCAATATGAAAAAATAGAATAACAAAAAATAAAAATAGTATAAAAAAAACAACAAAAACATTGCAAAAAAAAAAAGAAACAAAGAAAAATCAAAATATAAAAACATTTATTAAAAATATAAAAAAAATATATACCTCTTATGCGGCCCAGATCAACAACTAGTAAGTATATAACTTAATTTAGTTTAATGCAAGATTTTTATAAGAATGTTTGCAATCTTTTTTAAAATTATGTTGATGATAGATAACTTATGCATAAATACGATGAGAAGATAATATTAAGAAAAATGATAAGCCAGCAGGGGAATGAGACTTGTCCTAGTAATTAAACTAATGATGATAATGGTAATTAAACCAATGATGATAAAACACAATTCTGTTATGCACATTTTTTTTTCTTGCAAACAAACTTATATGTCTATTAGTTTTTTGTATTTTTTAATTATAATATTTGCTCTTAAACCTACAACATTTTTTTTTTGTTTTTTATTTACATTAGATACGGAAATAAGTCAGCCATATATTATTGTGTCTTCTCTAATTTATGATAACAATTAACAACTAAGACAGCTAAGAATCTGAAGTTATTGTCATATCAATGTATATCTATATTTTTTTGAAAAGAAAGTTATGGACATATAAACCAATAGCCTCTAGTTTCCTTCGAGGCAATACCCATGGAGAACTACAAGATTTCAATGGTAAACCTTTGTCAAAATGTAAACCTCAGATTTGAATTCTTCCAAACCTTTTAGTCCTATTCGTTTCCCCATCCTTCTCATTGCAATCTCAACGTCTCCATTCTGCAGTTTTCCTATGTACACTTATCCAAAACCATTTTTCCCAACCATGTTTTTCTCGCAAAAATCTTCTATAGCAGTCTCGGAAAAACTGAAGTGGACTCACATAACTGTCAACTTCCATAATTTCATCACCAGATTGATGCGTGCTTGTCACTGTTTCATTAGTTTTTGGAAGCTTTTCGGATTATTATTTCATTCTCCTAATCAAATTCTATCCAAACACTCTTCCTCCAACAACCACCAAATCAACCAAAATGCCCAGGAAAGTACCACAACAACTTATCTGTTTTGGTTCCATAGAGATTATTTTTTTTTGGGTAGGCTTTATTTTTTTTTCTGGTTGTCCTTATTTTTTCTTAGTTACTTATCAATAATTGTAAGCATTTCAACCAAAAACAAAATCGTACAGCAAGTTGGTTTCATAATAGTTCTGTATATTTTTTAGATGTGAATAAGTTGATTAATTTGCATATTATGTTATTAATCAACGAAAAACAACACAAAATTAATTTATTCCAAAACAACAGTGATAATAACTAACACATAAAAAAATAAAACTAAAAATAAAATAATTTTTTTGCTTGTAATTTGCTTCTTTTTCCTTATGTTTTGCTTATGTTTTATCAATTTTTTGCTTTCAAACAAAATATGCAATCGGATGGTGACATTGTAGTAATGACTCATGAGTTAATATTGGAGAAACTAGTGTTTATATATTCTAAATAAAGTGCACAATTAAGAACTGTTGATTAATTAAATATCACAATTTAATTAATTTTTATTGACACTATTTGAATAATATTAATTAATTAATATCAAACATATCTAGTTCAAGGATTAGTATTTATAAATGCTGACATATCGCTTTTTCCCCCTAATTATAGTTTTAAAATTTAGTGGATGTATTTGAGAAAACAAAAAAAAACTGTCTTACAATTAGTAGCAATAAAGATATCGAATGATAGGTGAAAAAAATCAAATTATTTTAGTAGATTGGGCTTACCACTTTTGTATACTTTGAAGCCTAAATAAATTATAAGTTTTCTTCTCAAAATTGTCTGACAGACGATCTTAGGGCCGTAAACGAAATAGCTCTGCAGCCCATTAAGGAATTGTTTTTTTTTTTTTTTTTTTTTGTAGATTTAATAGAATCTTTGTTTTTCAAAAATATATAGTTAATACATTGAGTTATATATTCAATGTATTGGGTTATATCAAGTATAAATATAGCTTTAAATATTTTGGGTATTCGTTCATTTTTTTTAGTTTGGCTCTAGTTTTGTGTATAGACGTTTAATATATGTTCAAGTATTTTTTATAAAATTTTAAATTTATTGATAAAATAAAACAGATTTATTATGCTCAAAATTTTTCCAAAACAAAATAAAGAAGTTTGAACCAAGTTATCACACACCCTCATGCTAAATTAAACTACCACCTTAGGAGTAACT